AGGGCCCAGATACACGCACATGAGATGACTACTCAAGGCACACATGCTAAGAGGAAGGAGAAATCAATGCCTTTCATTTTTAGTGAGACCCGAGAAAACCTTCTGAAGGTGCAACATGTGAATAGGGGGTTAAATACCAAGAACTGCTGTTGTAGACAGAAAGTGAGGGCACAGCGTGAAAAAGCCAAGAGGCAGTGGTGCACAACGTATTCAGAAGACAGTAAATTAATCTGCATGGCTGCAGTAGAGAGAGAAGAAAACCTAAGAAAGCAAAGTGCAGACAAACCCTTAGGGCTGTAACCCCTATTTTCTTTGTTAGCCCACCTCTTCATCCTCTTGAAACAAGAAGCTAGGATGGAGGAAAAACAAACAAACAAACAAAAAACAAAACAAAAAATAAGAACTCAGTAATCATTTATAACGACAAAAGCAGCAACTGCAGTTAAAATGTAGGGTGGATGCCGAAACCAGTTTGGCTCAGTGGATAGCGTGTCAGCCTGCGGACTGAAAGGTCCCAGGTTCAATTCCGGTCAAAGGGCATGTACATTGGCTGCAGGCACATCCCCAGTGAGGGGGGTGCAGGAGGCAGTTGGTCGATGTTTCTCCATCATCGATGTTTCTAGCTCTCTATCCTTCTCCCTTCCTCTCTGTAAAAAATCAATAAAATATATATTTTTTTAAATGTAGGGTGGATGATTATATAACATACACCATCTTAAACATTATCTCTTAAAATAATCTATGAGGTAGGTACTACTATTCCTCTCATAACAAGAGAACTGAAACTTAGAAAGGTAAGTAACTTCCCCCAAATCACACACTTAAAAAGTAGATTTGCACCCAACTTTTCTGTATCCAAAGCCTATATAAACCAAAATAAAGGCTGATCAGAAAATTTACAATCAGATTATCAATCTCCAAATATCAATTGCTGTACTGAAAAAGAAAAAGAAAAAAAAGGGAGGCCCCTAACCTTAAGGAATGCTTTGGTCCTGAGATCAAATGACATTGTGAATACTCTATATATAAAAAGCCAGTATCCATGACGACCAAACGACCACCTCCCAGTCCCTCCCCTCTCTCCCCGACCCGCATAGAGCAGAGAGGGGTGGGGCAAGACTGGGAACTGGTGAGTGGGCTGAACGGCTGATCTCTTGATCCCTGTCCCCAGCCAGCAGGCTCCAATGGATCAGTGATGGTGAACGGGAGAATTGGGGTGGGTGGCGGGAGGACCAGGCTGGCTGTCAGGCCACCAGCTCATCCCTGGCTGCTCAGCTGCTTGGGGGCTTAGGCCTGTGGGAAAGCAGGCACTAGTGACTTCACCTCTATGCGTGTGTGCCAGGACAGCCGCTTATGGAACACGCTGCCCACTCGGGGCCATTCATGCCAGGGCAGCTAGGTCATGGGTGCTCCCCACAGCTTCCATCAGTTCCTCAAGCCCCCGCAGCAGCGGCAGTGGCAGCGGTGCCCACGTGAGTGGCCCCAAGCAGGCAGCGCATTCCATCAGTGGCCAGCCTGGTGCACTCATATAGAGGTGAAGTCACCGGCACCTGCTTTCCCGCAGACCTGAGCTCCTGAGCAGCTGGGGATGAGCTGGTGATCCCAACAGCCTGACAGCCTGTGGCACAGGTGACATTCGGACTGGGGACTGGTGAACAGGCAGAAGATGGCCCTGATAGCAGGAGGTAAGACCCTAGGGACTCAACTCGCACGATTTCGTGCATTGGGCCTCTAGTCCTATATTTTAAAAGCCTAATATGCTAAGTGTCTAGTCATTTGGTCAGCCATTCAACCAATCAAAGTATAATATGCTAATGATATGCTAAAGATGCTCAACCACTCGATATGACGAGCACTGACCACCAGGGGGCAGACAGTCAACTGGTACACCAGTTGCTATGACATGCACTGACCAACAATGGGCAGATACTCTGACTGGTAGGTCAGCTTGCTGCTGGGGTCCAACCCATGGGGACTGAGTGAGAAGGGACGAACATGCCCTGGAGCCCTCCTGTGTCCCTCCCCAGCTCTGACTGTGTGCCGGTGGGGTCCTTCAGCCTGGCCTACACCATCTTGCACTCTGGGACCCATCAGGGGATGTTGGAGAGCTGGTTTGGGCCCCATTCCACAGGCCAGGCCAAGGGACTCCATTGGTGCACAAATTCATGCACGGGGCCTCTAGTATAGTATAAAGCTTCAAAAACTCCTGTAACTGAGGGTCCTTAGGGAAGTTTTTTCTTTGGAGGGCTCCAAGTTCCTTGTCTAAAAATGGGGACGTACACTACGTAGGATGGTACAAGAACGAGATAATGCATAAAAAACAAGTAACACAACCCCAGGCAGGAAGTCAGCATGCTATCCGCAACACTGACCCTACAGGTGTAAGCAGGGCACTGGAGTGGGAACTAGGAAGGAGGACTGGGACCCTGGAGGTGTAAGCAGGGCACTGGAGGGGGAAGGTAGGAAAGTGGGGCACTGAGGCATGGTTAGGAGAGTCTGACCATGTTCAAAAAGATCAGAAGGAACGGTTTAGAAAAGATATGGCAGCCCTAGCTCATTTGGCTTAATGGACAGAGTGTTGGCCTGTGGACTGAAGGGTCCCAGGTTCGATCTGGCCAAGGGCACATGCCTGGGTTGAGGGCTCCATCCCCAGTACAGACAGTTCTGGAGGCAGCCGATCAATGATTCTCTCTCGTCATTGATGTTTCTCTCTCCCTCTCCTTTCCTCTCTCAAGTCAATAAAGAAATATTTTTAAAAAAGAAAAAAAAAGAAAAGACATTGCAGGTAATCCTAATTCCCTGAGGGCTGCCGGAATGGTGGGGTGTCATCTCCATGGCCTTAGAGCCCAAAACAGCACGCACAGAGGCTCCTAGTAACTTAAGGACTAGTCAGGCCGTGGCCCTTCTGCAACTGAGCCACTTACCCCAGGACCAGCTTCCGCCTCAGGTTCTGCATCCATAACGCACCTGCAACGGCAACACAACCCGTCAACGCAAACTCCCACCGCCTCTCCTTCCTACCGCCCCTTAACCACTAAAATCCTCACCCAGGCGGTCCAGCACCGCCGCCGCCATCTTTCTCCTCCCCTCTACGGAAGCCTCCGAGCTCAATCCGCGTCTGGACAGAACGCATGCGCGATATTCCGCTCCTCCCCACTCACTTCCGCCCCGCCCCCGCCCCCGGCGGAAACCCGGCCGCACCTACACCCGCGCTGTTGTCATGGAGACCACCAATACGCAGCCAAGGTACTTAATTTAAGGCGTAAAGGAATGAATGAATGACTTAACAAAGGCCGAAAACTACGGTAGTCCGTTTCCGGAAATTCATCGGGATCAAAAAAAATTAACAAAACCTCACCTCACAAAAGGTCTGGGAAAGAATTAGGGAAGCAGAGATCTTGAACAAGCCACCTAATCTGGATGGGCTCAGTTTTCTAGCCAGTAAAATAGAATAATGATCCTTACAGCAGTTTTAAGATCTCTACTGGAGATCACGTGGAAAGATCTTTTACAAAACAAACAGCTCAAATATTAAGTATGATGTCCTAATCCTTGTTAATCTCCAGGCTGACCTACAAGAGATAAAAGTTACTTATCAGCCGAGGCCGGTTTGGCTCAGTGGTAGAGCGTCGGTCTGCGGACGGAAAGGTCCCAGTGTTCGATTCCGGTCAAGGGCATGTACCTTGGTTGCGGGCACATCCCAGGTGGGGGGTGTGCAAGAGGCAGCTGGTCAATGTTTCTCTCTCGACGTTTCTGGCTCTCTATCTCTCTCCCTTCCTCTCTGTGAAAAATCAATAAAATATATTTTTTTTAAAAAAAGTTACTTATCACCGGGCACTTGCTACTGTATACGGCCTGCAGACATTTCACTAAATCTCAGTATTCCTCACGGCAATGCAACAAGGCATAGATTATCATTTTCCTTCTTCAAATGAAAAAGAGAGTTAGGATAAGCTAAAGTCTCTTTAGATAACAACTGTCAAAAACAAACAAACAAACAAACAAACAAAAAACAGTAGTCAATCGAAGGCTTTATGCCTCCAAAGTTAGTACCCTTACCCTCTCTGTATTAAGATATCTCGGGTTTCGGTGTGCCAGATACCCCATGCAAACAAGCAATCCAGGAGCAGGGGAGTGTAGTGCAGAAATGTGAGCACCTTAGCCTGTTTGAGTTGGAAGGAAACTTCCATTCTTTTTCCTCCACAGCACTTGGCACACACATACAGTTTCACAGAGTTGGCATTCGATCAATGGAGTCACTCTACTATTCTTCTCCCTGGGTTTCCACCCAATAGCACAAACTCTTTCCTTTTTGAGTTCTGATCGGAATTTCTACTTATTTTTTTAGATATATCCTTATAGCTATTTTTCAACCTTTTCATCTCATGGTACACATAAGCTAATTACTAAAATTCTGTTGCACGCCAAAAAAAATGTATTTTTTGCCAATCTGACAAAAAAAAAAGGCATAATTTTGATTCAGTCATACCGAGCCGCTATTGTGTTGGCTGTCCTTTATTTATTTATTTATTTATTTATTTATTTATTTACAATCGGAAAGAGGTCAATGCCCCTGACTAAAATAGTCAGGTACTGCGTGTTTTAAACATTCTTGCTGGTCTCGGCACACCAGTTGAAAATCTCTGCTTTAGAAGCATCTCCAGAGCTAGCCAAGTGTCCCGGCACGAAACGTTCAAAAACTACTACTAGATGGGGCGGCGTTAAACCGGCCGTGCGGGGAGGTGACTCTACCGGTCTAACCCGTTAGTTATGTACCTTGACTGTTAGGAAGCGAGAAAGCCTAACCCCGGGGCTGGGCTCAGGCGGCGACAGACCCCGCCGCGGGCGGGCGGGCGGGCGGGCGAGGTGGGGAGGCAGAGCGCCCGGAACGCCGCCCCGCCTTCTCCAGCCCCGCGGCGGCGGCGGCGGCGGGAGCCGGAGCGCGGTGCGGCCTGGGCCTCGGCGCTCGCCGTAGCGGCAGCGGGACGAGGGGGCGGGGCTCCGGGTTGGCCCCGCCCCCTTCCCGGCTACGGCGTGGGGCTGCAAACGGTTCGTCCCAGTGGCTCCTCTTACCGCTTCCCTTGTGGCTCGCGGTCATGGGCCAGGAGCCTCGCACGCTGCCGCCCTCCCCCAACTGGTACTGCGCCCGGTGCAGCGATGCGGTCCCCGGGGGCCTCTTCGGGTTCGCGGCGCGGACCTCCGTCTTCCTCGTCCGCGTGGGCCCCGGCGCTGGCGCGATCGCTGGGACGCCCCCGTTTCGAGGTAACTCCCTTGTCCCTGCCCCCGCCTTTCCTGCACTTCTAGTGTTCTCTGGAGGCGCCGGGTGTGCGTCTTCGGCCACCCCCTTCTGTGGACGGAGAAACTGAGGCCCAGGCGGGGAGAAGGGTCTGCTCACAACCCCTAACCTGAGTCGCGTCCCCATCTCCAATGGTGAGACACGCTGCGCTGTGGGCGAGCGGTCCCACCTCCCGGCGCTCTCGGGAGGGACTGCTCGCTTACCCTGAAAGTTATCTCTGTCCAGCCGAAACCGGTTTGGTTCAGTGATAGAGCGTCGGTCTGCGGACTGAAAGGTCCCAGGTTCGATTCCGGTCAAGGGCATGTACGTTGGTTGCGGGCACATCCCCAGTAGGGGATGTGCAAGAGGTAGCTGGACGATGTTTCTCTCTCATCGAAGTTTCTAGCTCTCTATCTCTCTCCCTTCCTCTCTGTAAAAAATCAATAAAATATATTTTTTAAAAAAAAGTTATTTCTGTCCAGACCCAGGAATTTTTTAACATCATGGCCTCCCTCCTCGACCCATTGCACGTGGATCCCTTAGGAGCCTTCTTGGGGTTGGGGTTGCCTCCAGCTCCAGGCCCTAAAGCAAGATCTTACAAATAGATGGTACTCATTTCTGTAAGATGAAGGAATTGAGCCAGAGGCTTTTAGGCTCCAAACTAGGTCTTGATTATACCTTGGGATATGGCATGCCAGATAGTCGACTCCAAACAATCTCTGGCCAGATCTAAGTAAGAGTCCCGTTCTCCATTTGGGTTGCTTCTCAGCCTGTGAACTAGGCACATCAGGGAATATCAACAGCGTTTTACAGTTGAGAGGATGGAAGCTCAAAGAAATAAAATGAACTTTTCTAAAGTCACGTGGCAGAGCCAGTTCCCACACTTGGAGTTTTTGACTGTGAGTCCCCGGATATTTTTGTTATATTATATCACGGAATAAGGGAGATCCCACTCATCTAACAACAGCATGAATCAGCCAGAAAGCTTAGGTAGCACTTTAACCTGGAGTCTGGTTTTGCTTGAAGTCATAGGAGAGCTGGTGGGACACACCGAAAGAGTCTCTGGCTTCACGTTTTCTCATCATCCGGGTCAATACAACCTTTGTGCCACCAGCTCTGATGATGGGACTGTGAAAATCTGGGATGTAGAGACAAAAGCAGTTGTGACAGAACATGCACTCCATCAGGTACCATGGCTTAATTGCTTCCTCATACTGTTGTTATGTATCTATGCCAAGGGTTCTTTTGTTTCAAGTATAGTTTTGCTAGCTCATTTGTGCAAGTTAACTTTTGGAATTGTGTTTATAAATTAAATAAAGAAGTTCTGTGTTGTAAGAAATATTTTTGGAAGGTCAGCAAGCTACACTGCTTGCCTGCATTTGCAAATTATTTTACTGTAATAGAGCCAGTCATTCATTTAAGTATTGCTCACAACTACAGTATTGGCTGCTTGCATGCTACATTCATATGAGAATTGAAGAGTTGCATCAGAGAAAATGTGGCCCACAAAATCTAAAATATTTACTGTCTGGTTAGACTGCTGATAGGAACTGTATATCAGTAAATGAAACTTGATTTACCTGTCATTTGAGAGAATATAGGAAAGGAAAACAGTTAACTTAATCTTAGTAAGAACTCTGCATTAAGCTATGAAAGAAATTATTTTAAATGGTTCTTTGATCCTCAATAGCCTAAATTCTACCATGTGGTTAGTATAGTCTTGTTGCACAAGTGGTACTAATAGTATTTATTAGGTGCCTATAATGTGCCTCATTATGCTGGTTAAAAGCTAAGTGAAAATTAAGCACTGACAAATGAGAAGCAAATATATTTATGTTTTGTTTTAAAGCATACTATATCAGCATTGCATTGGTCTCCTCGGGTGAAGGACTTAATAGTATCTGGAGATGAGAAAGGAGTGGTGTTTTGTTACTGGCTTAACAGAAATGACAGCCAGTACCTCTTCATAGAACCCAGGACAATTTTCTGCCTTACTTGCTCACTTCATCATGAAGACTTAGTAGCCATTGGGTAAGTACTGTTCTATCTGTGTTGGTCACAAGTAGAAAGAGCAGCTGAGACGATGGAAGTAGTGCGGGTAGGTTTGTAGATCTGTTGGAAGGAGAGGGTGCTTCCTTCTGATGGCTTCTGGTTTTCTCAGTGAGGCATAAGTCAGACAGGAGATGGAGCCAAGTTCATGGTGGGATGGTACTGGATGCAGGAATAACGTATGAAAACAGTCATCTCAGAGAATAGGAAAATGAACGGGGGAAATTGTAGGACCAGTGGTCCCTGTTGAGTGCCAAGCTAAGGATCATGGTCATGACTAAACTATTTACACTGGTTAAGAAAAGAGATGGTTAAATTCAACCAGGTTTGAGGTTTTATGGCGTAAATACCCCTGAGAGAGGGGGGACAAGGAGACGGGTTTTTTTTAAGGAGTGAATAATAGTGAAAATGGAAGGGGTCTGTGGGTAGGCAGTCTCTGTGCAGTTGAGGAGAGGAGGGTACTAGAGAGGGAGCAGAAAGGCAGAAAGGGTAGCAGGCAGGAGTCAGAGAAAATGAAACCACACTGATCTTGAAAGATGAGCTGGAATTCACAAGAAGAGAGGAGTCTTTCAGGTACAGTCAGACACGGGATTGAATGAAAATGATTTTTTTCCAATGACCTTCAAAATGGTGATTATTTTTTGAGAGCTTAATCGCTTGACTATTAGTTACAGAACTTGGTGGTTTTCAAAGTTCATGTCTTTGAAGATTAACATTCTATGATTTAATTTTTTAAAAAAAGTTGTAATGAAGGAAAACTTTATAAAAGGAGAAAACTAAGTAAATAAAGCTGTTACTGGTATTTTTCCTTGTAGAAGTGTCTGTTTTTTAGGAAATGCAAATAGGTACACACACTTTGGAGAGCAGCTTTGCATTTCTTAGTAAAGCAAAGATATGCATATCTTACATCCTGACAGTTGCATTACTAGGCGTCAAACTGGAAATTGTCTCAGGTGTATATAAGAACATTAATGGCAGCATTTTTTGTTTGTAATAGCTAAAAATGTAAGCCCTTCAAAAGGAAAAGGACTTGGTAGAGGGGGAAAAAAATGAACTTTTGTAATAATATGAACAATAAAGGTTTATTTAAAAAAAAAAAAAAAGGAAAAGGAATAAAAAAGTTGAGGTATATTCAGATGATGGAGGACTACACAATAGTATAAATGGCTGGCCAGGAACAGTAACATGTGCCAACATGACTGACTCACGAATAGAATGAGTGAAGGAAGCAAGCTGCAGAAAAAGACTACATATCATTTATATGAAGTTTAAAAAAAAAAAAAAAAGCCTAAGCAACTGCATGATCGGTTGCAATGGTGCATACTGACCACTAGGGGGCAGACGCATAATGCAGGAGCTGTCCCTCAGGACTGGGGACCCCACCCATGCACAAATTTGTGCATCAGGGCTCTAGTATATAAAATAATTCTGTAGCCAAAGCCGGTTTGGCTCAGTGGAAGAGTGTCAGTCTGCAGACTGAAAGGTTCCAGGTTTGATTCCAGTCAAGGGCATGTACCTTGGTTGCGGGCATATCCCCAGTAGGGGGTGTGCAAGAGGCAGCCAATCGATGATTCTCTCTCATCGATGTTTCTAACTCTATCCTTCTCTCTTCCTCTCTGTAAAAAATCAATAAAATATATATTTTTTTAAAATAATAATTCTGAATTTTATTTAGGAATGTAAACAAAGAAAGGCTAGGAATGATGTAACCCAAAATTCATAAATAGCAATTTCCCTCTGGGGAAGAGAGGGACAGAGTTTGGGTGAGATATACAGAGGACTTCAACTGTGTTGGTATTGTTTTTTTCTTAGTCTGAGGGGTAGATACTTTGTGTTTTAAATACTTTGCCACTTAAAAAAAAAAAGCTGTTAGAATTTCTCAGCCTCTTGTACTCACTGAATAATAGCCTTGGAATACCCAGATCTTGAATTAAGAGTTCTGCAGCTTTTGTTAAGTTTCCAGTTGGGAAGCAGGGTTGCTGATATAAAGAATGAGTTTTGGGGTGTATTAAAACAATTTGAGTATAAGTAGAAGAACTGCTGGGTCCCTATAAGAACTTAGAACTTAAGCCTGCTCCAGTTAACATGCCAGGTAACATGCGCACTATTTCTATTACAAGATTGATCATGGAGAAGGATTTGAAAAATCAGGAAGCATGAATGAACACTTTAGAAAAAGGACAAAGTTAATTGTTTCTTGTCTTCTCCCCAACCCCCACTGCACTTAACTTTTAAAAATGGACAGTAACTCCTAAGGCAAAATTTTACTGGAAATCAAAATGTTTTCTAACTTGTTTTTCAGCTACAAGGATGGCATAGTGGTAATAATTGACATCAGCAAGAAAGGAGAAGTCATTCACAGGCTTCGGGGCCATGATGATGAGATCCACTCCATAGCCTGGTGTCCTGTGCCTGGTGAAGACTGTTTATCCATAAGTCAAGAGGAAAATTCAGGTAGCGGCATTTAAGGGAGGGTTCTGTACTCTTTAAAGCTTAAGAACACAATGTGTAGAATTGTATCATTGAATAACATTTAAAATGTGACTTTTGCCCTAGCTGGTTTGGCTCAATGGATAGAGCATTGGTCTGCGAACTGAAAGGTCTCGGATTCGATTCCAGCCGAGGGCACATGCCTTGGTTGTGGGCTTGATCCCCAGTAGGGGGCATGCAAGAGACAGCCAATCAATGATTCTCATCATTGATGTTTCTGTCTCTCTCCTGCTCCCTTCCTCTCTAAAATCAATAAAATATATTAAATAAATAAATAAATAAAATGATTTTTGCAGATCAGGTCTAGGAAGCTAGAGCTAAGATCCTGGAATCCTTGCAAACTATTTTTTCTTTGAGATAAGTACCTGTTTTGTGTAACAGAATTACCGTCTCTATCCTAGAAGAACCTGAACTTCCTAATGGGAAAGTTGTAGCACAAACTCCAGTAACAAAGGGCTGCTACTTAGCCACTGGAAGCAAAGATCAGACCATTCGAATCTGGAGCTGCTCTCGAGGCCGAGGTAAGACTGATGTTTGATCATTTCTTTCACAATGTAACCTATATTGATCCAAGAGAGGCATAGTTTTGTTATTCTGCCTTGCTGTACTGGAAGTATATCATCTGTCAAAAGCAGTTCCTGTACCTTTCTATGCAGAAAGTTGCTTCCCAACCTAGTTCTAGTCGGAAACTCACCTTCTCAGCCTGTAAAAGCTTTGACTTAAATTAGCTAGACTAGCCGAGACTGGTTTGGCTCAATGGATAGAGCATCCGCTTGGGGACTGAAGGGTCCCGGGTTCGATTCCGGTCAAGGGCATGTACCTTGGTTGCGGGCATATCCCCAGCAGAGGATGAGCAAGAAGCAGCTGATTGATGACTCTCTCATCGATGTTTCTAACTCTCTATCTCTCTCCCTTCCTCTCTGTACAAAATCAATAAAATATATATATTTTTTAAAATTAGCTAGACTACTGTTAACACTGTATAACAGTGTTACCAGAAGAAAATGAGGTCTGAATCCTAAGTAACCAAACTAACAAACTTCTAAACCACAAACTATACAATAGTTCCCTATTATCTGAGAGGAATACGTTCCAAGAGCTCCACAAGATGCCTGAAACCTCAGCACCAAACCCTATATAAACTTAACATTTTTCCCTGTACATACATACCTGTGATAAAGCTTAATTTATAGCCGAAACCGGTTTGGCTCAGTGGATAGAGCGTCAGCCTGCGGACTGAAAGGTCCCAGGTTCGATTCCGGTGAAGTGCATGTACCTTGGTTGTGGGCACATCCCCAGTAGGGGGTGTGCAAGAGGCAGCTGATGGATGATTCTCTCTCATCGGTGTTTCTAACTCTCTATCCCTCTCTCTTCCTCTCTGTAAAAAGTCAATTAAATATATTTTTTAAATTAAAAAAAAGTTTTTTAATTTGTACATTAGGCACAGTAAGAGATTTAAAACAATAATAATTAAGTAGAACAATTATAATGACATACTGTAATAAGTATGTGAATGACTTTGAGGCCATTATTAAGTAAAATGGATTACCTGAACACAAGCACTGAGACCACGGTTGTCTATCTGATCACCTACTAAGTGACCAACGGGTGGGAAGCATATACATCCTGGATACATTGGACAAAGGGATGGTTCTTGTTCAGGGCAGAACAGCACAAGATTTCATCACACTATTCAGAACAGTGGTATTTAAAAGAGGAATTGTTATATCTGGAATTTTCCCTTTGACATTTTTGGACCATGGTTGGCCATAGGTTACTGAAACCGCAGATAAAAGGGGGCCACTGTGTTGAGCTGCTGATGACTTTATACACCCATGGACCTTCTTTCAATCTGCAGGTGTGATGACTTTGAAATTGCCCTTTCTGAAGAGAAGAGGAGGTATGGACCCAACTATTAAGGAACGCCTTTGGTTGACACTCCATTGGCCCAAGGATCAGCCAACACAGCTGGTATCCAGCTGTTTTGGGTCAGTCATTTTCCTGGTCATGCCCTTTGACATGTTTTGTTTTCTTCCCTGGCCTCAGAAATTCCTAGACTTGAAGATGGAAAAAGCAGTGGCTGAGGCTTATATTATGATAGGCCATTTGTATTGGAAAAATCATGGGATCGATATCTGTGTTGTGTAAGAAGAGAGTTGTGAAAAGATCAAATATAATAAGTATAGCCTGGTGGTTAAGAATGGACTCTGAAGTCAGGCAGAATTGAATTTCAGAATCAGTCCATGACTTACCTGCTATGTATTCATGAGTAAGACCCTTCACTTTTCTGAGCTTCAATTACTTCATATATAAAAAGAGGAGGTTATAGTATCTCCTGTCTCTTAGGATGATTAGAACCATTCATTAAACAAAATTTGAGTATCAGCTTTTAGTTGATTGAGATAATAAGTGGATTTAACAGAAAGGGCCCTGCTTTTAAATGAAATAATACAGGTAAAGCATATAGAAATCTCATCAAAACATTAGCCATGGCCCTACCCCTGCCAACCTCACTGACTCATGAGATATTCTATCTTAAAGCCTGTGGGGCTATGCAAATTGTGGAATTTCCTAATTAAAGCTATTAGGAAAATCTTTTCAAAAAGCAGTCCAGTATAGTTGCATGGCCCAGAAAGAAGGAAAGCTATGATAAAGTACCCTTCCACCTCTGATTCCTCCAGCTACTTGGTTCTCCTCCCCATAGGACTGATTCCTTGTTTTCATGTGTGCTTCCAGAGATATTCTGTGCATACTTCAGAGGTTTTCTCTACTTAAAGGAACAATGAACAGAAATTATTTTGCAACTGGGCCACGCTTCTGGTCCAGAATCTCTTCTTCTCAAATGGCTTGTGAAAGATAACTAACGTCTGTCTTCCTTCGCAGAGGTGAATTGCTGCTATGGGATCTCACTCAGTCTTGGAGGCGAAAATATACCCTCTTTAGTGCTTCAGCAGAAGGGCAAAATCATTCAAGAATTGTGTTTAATTTATGTCCGCTGCAAACTGAGGATGACAAACAGCTGCTGCTTTCCACATCAATGGACAGAGATGTAAGGACAGTTTATTTCTGTGTTCAGCACAGAAACGCAGTGGTTTATGACTTAGATGGGATTAGAGGGCTTTTTCAAACCAGCCATCAGTTCCATTCATACCCCCCATACCTCCAGTTCCTATTTCAGTTACTCTTACCGATTGGCACTAAATACATGAACAGCAGAGAGGTAGGGTGAAGGGGGGGAACCACCAAGATGCCTTTTTGTTACAGAAGATGTGATGAAGAGCTAATGGGTCCAGGAAGGATATGTAAGATCATCATGCTTTGGCTTTGTTATATCCTTGTCTGTAGTTAGGTAGCAGAATCATCTGCTCTTGGTGAACTCTCTCTAAGGGAGAATTCGCTTTAAGAGTCTGTGGCCGTACTCTTTTGCAGTTAAGGTAGGCTCAGTTGATAGACTTTTTCTCCCAAGTCCCTCTGTTACACAAGTTACAATTCAAAACTTAGCACTGCTCTTTCCATCAGTATGATATTTTGCTTTTTGAGATAACACTGATTTTTCCAGTATCTTGAGAGCATCTTTATTGCTTAGAGTTTGCCAAATGAGGAAATTACCAATGTGCTAATCCAATAGAGTAGAAAGGCCAGTGACCTTGTAAGTGGCAGGCCTGGTTCTGGCTTATTAATTGTATGGCTCAGAATTCACTTGACATCTCTGGGAATAAACGTATGCTAAGATCCCTTTGAGCTCTACAATTTATTATTTTTTTGGGGGGGGGGGGTGTTTTTTCTAAAACATGCTTTTTCCGAATCCTATTAAAATAGTTAAATTACACTATTCTTGTTTACTCTCTAAACCCATCCTATTTGAAATGTTGATTCCTTTTCCTGCTTCTCTGATCTTTTTTTATATTTAGGCCTTAACCTTTCATCTTTTCAGGTAAAATGCTGGGACATGGCCACCCTGGAGTGTTGCTGGACACTGCCTTCCCTTGGTGGCTTTGCCTACAGTCTGGCTTTCTCTCCTGTGGACACAGGCTGTTTGGCCATAGGCGTTGGAGACGGCATGATCCGTGTATGGAATACAATCTCCATAAAGAACAACTATGATGTGAAGAATTTCTGGCAGGGTGTCAAGTCCAAGGTTACAGCGGTACGGATGCTCTCTTTGAGCTTACTATGAACTTATTTTCAAGTCAGTAATTCTCTTTCAGAGGATACCTTTTCGTTTAAATGAACTCTGTTGGGAATCATCTCCAAATTTAGGATTTCAAGTTAGAGCTTTGTTCAAGTCATCATGTTTTCTAATAGTAAAAAAAAAATTAGAAATAACCTGGATGTGAATTCATGGAAGACAATTATTAATTATGAACACATGGGATGGTATCAAACTATTAGAAATGACAATGCAGATCTTTATTTTATGTGAAAAGATGGTAATGACTCACGAAGAATGCAAATGACAAAACACAAAGCACATTACAAAACCGCATGTATAAATTTTTTTGTTTTTTTCCAAAGTGAAACCTCTGTTGTGGCCATTTAATCTAAAAGCAAGGAATGTTTCTCCACGCCATTCACCCATTTCCATAATACATTGAACCACTGTTGACAATTTGTGATGTGTCTTTCAAAATTTTAATTATTATTAGAATCATATTTTCTAAATTGTTCTGGCATTTTTTTATCCCCACTCAACAGTGTATCATGTACATCATTCATATGTTTGAACCCTTTTTTCAATTGTATATGTTGTAAGATTATTCACCAAAAAATTCAATACTGGCAATGGAGTGCTTTGGGGTGAGATTACAAGTAACATTTGTTTCTCTTTTAAATAATGAGAACTTATAAAATTAGAAGACACCAAGAGCAAGAAAGTTTTCCATTTAAACGCCTGAAGAATAATCTGAGAATTCCCATTACAGTCTCTCGTTCCTCATGTGTTTTTTGTAGCTGTGCTGGCACCCAACCAAGGAAGGCTGCTTAGCTTTTGGAACGGATGACGGAAAAGTGGGATTGTATGACACCTACTCTAACAAGTAAGAGAGAGAGATGATTCTTTGTCTAGGCCATTGACCAAATGTCAGTGATGATGTTTGAGTTCAGAAACCTGGACATGCAACAAAATTGGTCTGGGAACATCTTTAAGAGTCTGGTTCTGAACTTCTTCCTAATTAGGAATATGACCGATTTACTGTTCAATGATTGTTATTTATTACAGTTTCCATAATTTGCCACTATAATAAGAATCTTTACTATATACTATTTTATATTTAAAGAGAAAACAGAGTCCAGCTCTGAGACTGAGGTTTAAAACTCGAACTTTAATTTTAAAAATGTATTTCTCAGCCCTGGCCAGTGTGGTTCAGTTGGTTGAGCATCATCCTGTACACAAAAAGGTCGCCTATGTGATTCCCACACAGGACACATGCCCAGGTTGCTGGTTCGGCCCCCCATCGGGGTCTGTGTTAGAGGCAACCAATTGATGTCTCTCACATCAGTGTTTCTCCTTTTTTCCCCCTCTCCCTTTCACTCTTTTAAAAATAACTAAATAAATAATTTTCAATAATGACCTTTGGGAGTATAAAGTATTTCCTTTTCCCTCGATTTTTTAAACAGTAGTTCTATAATATGAACTGATGTCCAGCCATATACAAATTAAGTTTTATTAGAGCCCAGCCATCCTCATTTGTTAATATCTTGTCTGAGGCTGCTTTCATGGTACCACAGCAGAGTGGACTAACTGTGACAGAGATAGCATGGCTCAAAAAGCCTGAAATGTTCACTATCTGGCCCTTAGTAAGATAAGTTTGCCTACCTCTGTTGCACATTACTTGCTTCAAGTGAGATTATACTGCAGAGTTAACCTTTTTGCAATTATTTAAGTACTTATGTATAATCTACATGTAGTTAACTATTTTTCTCCTTTTTTTTCCTCACCCAAAGAGAGAGGATATTTTTTCCATTGATTTTTTAGAGAGAGTGGAAGGATAGAGGGCAGTATAAGGGCAGGAGAGAGAGAGAGAAGAAAGAAACATGGATGTGAGAGAGACACATCAATTGGTTGCCTCCCACACTTACCCTGACTAGGGGTGGAGCTCGAACCTGTGGAATCCAGCCTATACATCCACCTCTGAACCTGTGACCCCCTCTGGTGTGCAGGCCGATGCTCTAACCACTGGACAATGCCAGCCAGGGTTCCAATCCCCCACCCCACCCCCCAATTTTTAATTCTCAAAAAAGCTATATCAAAGAAACATCTAAGAAAATAAAACAATATAACACTAGAAAAGGTATGAATTAGGGGGAAGGATGTTGCTGTGGACAAATTATTCTTGGGCCTTCAGCCAGAACTGCTATTCTCTTAGCCAAATAAATTCTGGTTTATTATCTAGGATAACAATGTATGTCAGACACATGGAAGTAAATAAGTCAACAGCTAGTTCAGCCGTAAGTTCCAGGAAAGAATACAATATGCACTGACGGTAATAACCACACTGCCTTTGACTGCCACCTCACATATTATTCACCACCACAGCAGCCTTAAGAAACACTTTTAAGACCAAGGCTTCTTAAAAAACAAACAATAAAAAACTTTAAAGTCTATCTAAAATCTTCTCTTATTTAAGAATGTGGTATTAATGACAGGGTAAACCTAAAATGACATTTAGTCTTTTACTTGAATATGAGGTGGAGCATTTGCATGGTGATAGTGCATGCTTAGTTCTGTGCTAAGCAGTTTGCATTTTCTATCTAGTCCTATCTGTCTCTCATTGTGGTAGCCTTTACACTGCTGGATAACTACAGTCATATTAAAATATTTGACATTTAAAGTGGACAACTCAGAGGGAGAGATGGGGAAAATGTTTATAAACCAACCAGATGAGCAGGTTAGATTGGATGGGGAGAGGGAGATAACATTTTTTCTGTGTTTAAAGTGTATTTGAGACTTACTCATTTTGTTAGTAGATCTCATTACCTGGTATGTCATTTAAGTATTTGCTTCTTTACAAATCAGCTATTTGGAAAAGGGGTACTATTAAATTGTTTTTCTCTTACATCAGCAAAAAAGTTTATAATAAGTGCCTTTTACAGGGGAAAAGTGTGTTATTGCCACTATGCCTTTTAGTGTAAATCTTTCTGTTTGTAATCCCCCTTCCTCTTAGACCTCCCCAGATCTCCAGCACATACCATAAGAAGACTGTGTACAGTTTAGCCTGGGGGCCACCAATACCTTCCCTGTCAGCTGGTAAGTGTCTGAGCCATTTTCTTACAAATGCAGAGTATTCTCTTTCTTACAGCTTAACTTCCTTACAGCTTAGTCCTAGGATATTTGAGAGTCCCAAATATTCTAGCGCAGTGACTGCTTATGCTGCTGCTATGTATCGATAGCCAGGGGTCTCTGAAGGCAGAGTGCTGGGTCAAACCATTCACCCATAATAAGCCTCCCTAAACTCTAAAGCAAACTGAGACTTTCTCAAGGGATCTCTTTTTGCCTTTCATTGTATTCGGATGCTTTTCCTCTTCTAGTCCCTCTCAGCCTTGTCTTTCTCTTTCTTGTTCCTAAAGTGATAGTCCTTTGCAGTATCTTTCAAAATGAGTGTTCAGCAAAAATCTTTGGTTTTCTATAATGAAACATCTAAATTTCCATAGTAACTGCATTACATAGAGAGGATAGTGTAAATCATCAGCACTCAAACAGCACTGCAATCATCTTTCATTCATTCACTCAACACATGTCTATTGGATCCTTGGTTTGTGCCAGGCAGAGTTCGAACAGTGGTGAGAGTAAAACCTGCCCTTACAGAAAGCCATCACAACTGCTGTTTGCTTCTTAAAAATCAACAAGAGGATTGCTGTAACACTAAGGAAATCTGCTCCTTATAATTACTCATAGAAAGTCCTGCAGTTCCATATATTTAAATGCCCAAAGAGTGGAGTACTTATTTCTGAAAGAAAACATAAAAATTCAAAAACTTTGAGAACATGTTTTCTGATTCCAGCTTTGGCACCCCATACCATTTTGAATGACAGAAGAATGTTTAAAACAAATATGTTACATTATAGATATTAATGTAGCGTTATTAGTATACCGTTGTTACTTTTACTCCCAACAACTAGATTCAGACACATGGAACGGTGGCTTTATTACAGTGTATTGGAACAGTGGATAGTATGATATGGTGGTGCTTTGGCTGGTGGAATGCAAAACTGATAAGCTTTCTTGTCTCCTATAGGAGGAGAAGGAGACAGACCCTCCCTCACTTTATACAGCTGTGGAGGGGAGGGGCTTGTCTTGCAACATAACCCCTGGAAGCTTAATGGAGAGGCTTTTGACATCAACAAACTCATCAGGGACACCAATTCAATCAAAGTAAGTTCCTGTGGTTTAAAGTCTTCTCTTGATCTCTGAATCTTGATTTTCCATCTTTCACAATAAGTGCCATTATTAGAGATATCCGTTATGCTCGGTAAGACTTCTTAGATGTTCTTTAAAAACTCAGTGAATTCATAAGTTATAACATATATTGTAGAATTCTTTATCCTTGAATGATGCAAAGAACTTAACAACAACAAAATATTTTATCTCAGTTGCATTGGTGATTTATCGTAAACTTTCAGATCTTGGATATAGAGCATTCTTTTCCAGCCAGCCAGTTCCTCCAGACAGGCCTTGGTAAAAATAACTTGGTGATAACGGCATCCACATGTGGCTGCGGGGTATTTTGCTCAAGATGGAATTGTCATTTGTTTTTAATTTTTTAATGAAGGAATAATAGATTTATTAAAAAGCTGCAAAAATAATTCCGTTATCTTTGACCCAGATTCCTACAGTTAATCACATTTGCTTTATATCTTATCAGTATTATCTGTATGCCAGAACTATCTTTTGAAGTGAAATCGTAAATGCTGAGATTTCCTTATTCTTTTAAATGAGCATTTTTTTATTGTTGCTCATTATTCTTGTATGGCTAGCATAGAAATAACATTTAATCATAAACTGAATTATTTTTATTGATTCATTCCTCCACTGTCTTCTCTATATTATCTTAACATAGCATTCAACAATGATTATAGAGACCAGATTCCTGTGCCCAGTGAGCTTTGGGTTTTGTAGCAGTTGAGTGTATGGATCAGAAGCTCATACAGGGAGTTTGGGCTGCAAATAGAAGTTTAGCATCCCTTTACAGGAATGGTAGCTAAAAAAGCTGTGTGTGCCCAGCCCGTGTGGCTCAGTGGTTGAGGTCGCAGGTTTGCTTTGCAATCAGGGCACATGCGCGGGTTTTGGGCTCGATGCCCAGTAGGGGGCGTGTGGGAGGCAGTGGATCGATGATGTTCCTCTCTCATCAATGTTTCTATCTCTCCCTCTCTAAAAAAATCATTTAAAAAGAAGGGGGGGGAAAAAAGCAGCTGTGGGCATGTATGAGGTTGTCTAGAGAGAGAAGAAGAGGGCCCAGGCAGCCTTGGGGACCAACATGAAAAGAAACAAAAGGGATAGGAAGAAAGCAAGGGCAGGGTGTATGATTTTTGTTAAGGAGACCATGATATTATTTTAATGAAGCTCAAGAAACATGGATGTGAGAGAGACCTGGCACAAAACAAGGTTAGACATTGTAGACATTTAGTGTTTACTGGCCTCCTTTTGTCCCGATTAAGAAATTATAATTAGGCTGAAACCGGTTTGGCTCAGTGGTAGAGTGTCGGTCTGCAGACTGAAAGGTCCCGGGTTCGATTCCGGTCAAGGGCATGTACGTTGGTTGCGGGCACATCCCCAGTGGGGGGTGTGCAAGAGGCAGCCGTCCATGTTTCTCTCTCATCGACGTTTCTAGCTCTCTCTCTCCCTTCCTCTCTATAAAAAATCAATAAAATATATATTTTTTAAAAAATTATAATTAGGACATTTGCTCTTAGTAATCCTTTGGTTATTATGTAGATTATTTACAAGAATGGCTATTGTATAATTAGATTTTTAAACTCTAGAGATTTTTTTCTCTAGTGCTGTCATCATTGGTTTGTAAGCTATGCAGAGAAGAACAGTGTTTTTAGTCAAGATTGGTTTGTTTTGCTTTCTAGTACAAACTGCCTGTACACACAGAGATCAGCTGGAAAGCAGATGGCAAAATCATGGCTCTTGGCAATGAAGACGGGTATGTGTTTGTTTCTTTAAAACACACACACACACACACACACACACACACACACACACACTTTGTAACTGCACATATATTTGATTGCAAGCTGTCTGATGCCATCTGTAATGTTAGCTGGGGAAGCCCGGTTGTTCTTGATATTCTGATTTATCCTTGTGTCTGTGAATGATCTAGGAGCTCTCTGCATCTTTGAAAATTGCTAAGTAAGTTGGATATTTTCATTCCAAGGAGCGTTTGCCTACTCAGTGTTTGGCTGTTTGATGCTTTGTAAAATGCTCATCTCCTGCACCGAACTGCCTCAGTTTCCCTTCATTGTTTGAAATGAAGCCTCGGCATCCGTCCTCTTTTATAATAGGTCGCACCAGCCCTTTCCGTGTTATTAGAGTAACCATCCTAAGTCAGCCATTGGTTCATCCATTCTCCTTTTAGCTTCTCTCCAGCACCATCTATTACAAGAGCCTGATAAACACTTTTCAGAGAGTTTGGGCATTTTTTCAAAGCTGAAATACTTGTTTGAGAGACAACCTTTTGTCCCTGGTTCTAAGAGAGTGATAGGGTTTTCCTATGCCACTTCACCTTTCCTTGACTGAGGGAGTGAAGGAGAAACCTGGTTGTGTTAATTGTACATTTATTGTCCATCTTTCATATCTTGATGTGTTTATTATTTCAGATCAATAGAAATATTTCAGATTCCCAACTTGAAACTGATCTGCACCATCCAGCAGCATCACAAGCTTGTGAATACCATTAGCTGGCATCATGAGCATGGCAGCCAGCCAGAGCTGAGCTATCTGATGGCCTCCGGGTCCAACAACGCTGTTATTTATGTGCACAACCTGAAGGCGGTCATAGGTAACTGGTTTCTTCTACACTGGGGTGCGATCCTCTGTTTGGCTCCTTTCCATTCCAGTCTCTACACTCTTTACTGTTAAAATAAATGTTATTACTTTTTTGTTTTCAAAAGTAATATATTCATTTTATTTAAAATAAAAATTTCAAATATGACATATATGGTAACTAAGAAAGTAACATTCCTCCCATAATCTCATCCCTCAATAATAATCAGTGTTATCAGTTTGCTGTATGTTTTCTCCAGATTTTTTGTTCTGTAAATCCTCACCGGAGGATATTTTTCCCATTAATTTTTAGAGAGAATGGAATGGAAGGAGGTAGAGGAGAGAGAGCATGCATGCAAGAGAAACGTCGATGTGAGACACATATCAATTGATTGCCTCCCAACTGGGGCCAGGGATTGAACCCGCCACCCTTCAGTCTAAGGCTGACGCTCTAACTATTGAGCTATAGTGATCAGGGCTTCTCCAAATTTTTTAAAGAATGGTTATTGGCCAAGTGGCTCTCCAAAAATACTGTCCCAATTTATACCCTCTTCCTGTAGTGTTTGAGTATTTTACACACAACGCATTCACATGTTTCACTGCATCCAACTCTCACAACCCCCTGAGGTAGCTTTTGTTATTCTCATTTTCCCCTTGTCTTGTAGAGAGCAATCCTGAATCTCCAGTGACCATTACAGAGCCCTACCGGACCCTCTCAGGGCACACTGCCAAGATTACTAGTCTGGCATGGAGCCCACACCATGATGGAAGGCTGGTGTCTGCTTCCTATGACGGCACAGCGCAGGTACTGTAGCGTCTCTGGGAGTGGGTTCCTCACTGTGTACTCTGACTTTCCTCTTTTCCCAGTTGTGTGCATTCCCCTTCCCTCACTGTTAACTTCTACAGAAAGGGATTTTCTGAGTTCTAGGAAGCATCTTAGTTTTATTCCAGGCCCTTATCGGGCTTTGATTGGGTTGTTTTTTTATTTAGAGATGAAAATGAAAGTATTTATAGAAACTAGCTAAATTCTAATTTTAAGATTTCATTCTAACTTATCACTGTCAGTGATGGACTTATAAATTTATGTGAAAACAATTTTTAATAATAAAATGGTAAGTCAGAAATCTCAAGTTCTAAAAAGTAAAGATGAGCTGCCAAGCCTGAACTATGAGGTATGAGTTTCAGGTGTCAGAACCAAAACAGACCTTGGGAACTGGAGGGCAGTATCTGTGGTGGATGTCTGTCTCCATGTTGAGACAGTAGGGGGTGTGCAGAAGGCAGCCAATCAGTGATTCTCTCTCCCTCTCCCTTCCTCTCTGGAATAAATTTTTAAAGAAGCAGGTAGGACACTGATCAGTTGCCCAGGTACTTGGGGGACAAAAGAATCACCTGTGAGAAATTAGAACCCCAAGTATGCACACACGTGCAGGGTGGGCTGAGTTAAGAATTCTCTTCATAAATAATATACAGTACTACTCCAGGATGGTGAGATCTGTAGGCCACCTTTAGAAGCTCACTCAGAATCACCCCCACAGGCAATAGCACTCTCTGAAATTGAACTCTTAAGAGAAAATTACAAATCACAAGAGGAAATATAAGTATGCACAGATCTTTAAAATATTATTTTTCTCCTCCCCCAGAACAATGGAATAACTAGAAAGTGCCTATTCTGTCATGTGACTTTGGCTTTAGGTGTGGGATGCTCTCCAGGAAGAGCCTCTATGCAACTTCCGAGGACATCGAGGTCGGCTGCTGTGCGTGGCATGGTCCCCCTTGGATCCAGACTGCATCTACTCGGGAGCAGATGACTTCTGTGTGTACAAATGGCTCGTCTCCATGCAAGAACATTCCCGGCCTCCCCAAGGTCAGTCCTAACTTGGAGCCCAGAAATGCTCACCTTCTTCCCCGGCTCCCTTCCTCAGTAACTGAGTTGATTAGGGGCAAGCGAGAAAGACATTCACACGGGGCAGCTGCCACCATATGTCAGGGCGCTGGAGCCTATGCAAGGCAGCCAGCCCTGGGGAGCCTGAGGACAGCATCCAAATCGTAACAGTATTCCTGGCACCCAGGTCTTCATTTCTGAATACTGGAGGTCATGTTACAATTCAGTCAGGGCACGTGCCCAGCAGTGGGTGTGCAGGAGGCAGCCGATCAATGAGTCTCATTATTGATGTTTCTATCCCTCTCCCTCTCTGAAATCAATAAAAATATATTTTAAAAAATAAAAAGCCTTTAAAAAAATAGTTTGAAATCAGAAGAAATCTGAGCCTGTTCCAAATTGAAGGAAACTAGAGACATAACAAGCAAGTACAGTGTGTGATGCCTTTTGCTGTAAGAGACCTTTTTGGTAAAACTAATGAAACCTGAGTGAAATGTGTGGCATAGACAGTAGGAGTGTATCAGTGTTCATTTCCTGATTTGAGTAGTTGTGCTGTGATGATGGAGGAGTGTGTTCACACACTACAGTATTCAGGGTTAATTGACCATAGTATTTCTGATTTAATTTCATCACAAAGGGTTAACATTTGGATAATGTAACTAAAAATTCATTGTGAAGGAAGGGAAAGGGTAAGAATGCTATCCAAAAAGAGTAGTGAGGGTTTGGAGATGATCTCCTAGAGTGCTTTTAATCAGTTTATATTTTACTCTATCCTTTTTTAACCTTTGCTTTTTCTTTTTTTTTCTTTTTTTCTTTTCTATTCCTCTAGGCAAGAAAAGTATTGAATTAGAGAAAAAAAGGCTCTCTCAACCTAAGCCAAAGCCCAAAAAGAAGAAAAAGGTCACCTCGAGAGTGTCCGTAAAGCAGGAGTTGTATGAGGGGAATGAAGAAGAAAGCATAAGGGAGAGCACGGGGCCTGTTGAGAACGGCAGCGTGTCCGACCAGGAGGGAGAAGAGGAAGCACGGGAGCCAGAGTTACCCTGTAGAGTCGCCTCCATAGGTATGTGCCCGAGCCCCATGTCACCGACTCCAGGACTAAAGAATTGTGACCAGAAACTTCTCTGCCTCTCATCTACCTGGTTTCCCAGCTCCTTAGCGTGGGTGGTATTTTTGGTGCCCCTGGCAACCACATTAGGTTTGTCAAAGGGCACCTTTAAGCCTCCGAACACCTTTGAAGTGTTAGAGGGGACTTAGTGAGTGATTGGGGTGGAAATGGCAAAGTTCTGCAGAGAAGCTTCTCCCCAGCTTGGGCAGGTTGGCCTATGGGACAGAGCAGAGCCCGGGAGTATTTACACAGGAACCCACATGGGAAAAGTTTTAACAATTTGACATCGTCATCCATTTATTGAAAGACACCGCTGTCGTTACAAATGTCTGACCTGGAAGCTACCACCACTGGGAACCTGTTTCCACCTGGTGGTATTTTCCTAAAAAAAATTATGAATGACATTGAAGTTCTTTCAGCCTGTTAAACTATAGTGACAGCTCTCAGACTTCTTACAAACTATTTTTCTGGGTTCCATCACTGATTTCTAACTAAGCAGTCTACCACAGATATTGACGAGGAAAAGGACAAGGGATATAATTTTAGCTATTTACCTTCAATTCTTTTAGCTATTTACCTTCAAGCTCTGAAGCCTGTTACCTGTTGAAATGAATGACTAAATAGCAAACAATATAAATAGTGGTGTGTTTTGTTGGTTTTTTTTAGCTCTAAAACAGTATTTTGATGTGAAAGCATTAAAGTGACTAAGATATATGGCACAAAGTCATCCCTGGCCCTTTCTGTTTCAAGGCATAGCTGTTGGACCTGTGGTTTGAGTCAGAGCTAAAAGCATACTGGATTTATTTTTTAGGTCCATCAAAATACCTTTTTATTGCAAAATTATTGCACAAGAAACAGCAGCTTGTTTTATTTTAATTCATGGTTGTGGTAGGTTCAGGATTGTGACTCCATATCACATACCCTGAATCTTTTCTATTAATTGAGGTGTTCCTTATTTGTGTAATTAAACATGCCATTAGTACTTTGTTATCTAAATTTGTAATATCCTTTGTAACCTAAGCGAAGTTTGGGAACTTGTGAGCCTATGGTGTAAAGTTGTGGAAGCTAGAAGCTTATAACTTTTCCTTAGATGAATTAGTCAAAGTTAGAAGCAGTAAACTCAGAAAATTCTGGAACACAGTCTGTGAGCTAAAAAAGGGAAACCACCCATGCTGCCTTTGAAAGTGTTTGATCTCACATTTTGGGTAACAGATAAAATTGCACTGCTAAACCTGGTATAGTTCCTAATTTTCAAAAAGAACCAGATTCTGCATTGTTCTCATCCAAACTTTTTTTCTTGATGTAGTTTCTAGAGAACCAGTTATATGCCCTCCAGTTTCCTTAGGCTTAGAAAAGCCAAAAGTCATCGTTAATAATAAAGTCACTTTACTGAAAAAGGAGCCACCTAAGGACAAGCCAGGTTGGTATTTACTAATTAAAATACTTTGTTAAAGCGTCCTCAAACAAAAGTTACAGGCAACTGGGGTTTTAGTTGTTTTTAAGTTTTAAATACTTGTGTTTTGATTATATCTCAATCTTGAGTCATACTTATTGATTGATTGATTGACTTGATTTGAGAGAGAAACATCGATCAGTTGCCTCCCTCCCGCATGCAGTGAACCCAACGAACCCAACCACCTTTTGGTGCACAAGATAACGCTCCAACCAACTGAGCCACACCAGCCAGGAAGGGTCATACTTTTTAAAACATTTTCTAGTACTTGATGAAGTGTTGTTTTGCAATTGATACTGCATCACACGTGTTCACAGGGTCATGTTTGTTTGCTGTGAACATTGCCTCGAGCTCATGTAATTTGAAAGCTTCTTTATAATAGAAGGGACTTTCTTTGCGCAGCAGTATCCTCCGGTAGGTTACATTCACACAAGTAGGCATTCGGTTTGTTTCTGATCTGTTCTTTAGATGGTCTGTACTTCTGTTACTTTTCAGAAGCCTTAGTAATGAAGAAGCGAAAAGCCCGTTCCATGCTTCCACTGAGTACAAGCCTGGACCACAGGTCCAAAGAGGAGCTTCATCAAGACTGTTTGGTACTAGCAGCTGCAAAACACTTCAAAGGTACAAAAATACACTTCCTTGGCCCATCTCTAGTCTTCTGGGAACTGGCACAGAGAGGCACTTATTTGTTAGAATGAATGTGTAAAATTGTATGTATTTCTTCTACATTCTTTTCCGTTCTTCCCTTCCTATACCCCATTGCCAAGCTCCCTTTCCTGAGCCTTTCCATCTGTCATAACCTTAACCACTGTCAACACTTTCCAATGCTCTGCTTTTATTGTTATAAATCAAACTAGAAGTCCATTGCATGAAATTCACGCACTGGCAGGTGTGTGTGTGGGGGGGGGGGGTGTTCCTCAGCTCAGCCTACACAGGAGCCTTCAGGGGATGTCCAACTGATAGCTTAGACCCGATCCCCATGTAGAGTGGGCCTAAGCCCATAGTCAGACATCCTTAGCCCTGCCACAACGGCAAAAGGGGCTCCCTTCTGTGAGCCCGGCTTCTGGCTGAGTGGCATTCCCCCTATGGGAGCGCACTAACCACCAGGGGGCAGCTCCTGCATTGAGCGCCTGCCTCTGGTGGTCAGTGTGCATCATAGTTCCTTGGTTCTGTCAATTTGCATATTAACCTTTTATTATATAGGATTGTTACCAGCCATCTGGGTGCTAGAATTGGTATGATGGCTTAAATATCTCAGCATGAATGAACAGCATCTTCAATGTAGAAACAAAATTATTTGCTTATTAGAAATATCATAATATACAGTACCTTTAAGAAAAATTAATGGAAGTTTTTTTACAAAATATTTTTTGCTTTTAACTTTCTAAAGCCCTCATCTAATGCCTCTTATTTTTATATTGCAGCAGTTGTATATTTTTAATTTTACATGTTAAAAAGGAATGCTCAGTATAAAGAGAATATAAGTCTGTCTCCCACCTCTAACATCCACTCCTTCATTTCTCCCCAAGGCCACATTACTATCATTTTGTCTTCCTCTAGAGATATTTTATACTCTTATTATATACTCAGCCCCCATTTTGGAACTTTTGAGCAATCTATAAACTAAATTGTCTCATTGGATTGGCCCAAGCTAAGTTTAACAAACTATATATATTTTCCTGTTTTGCTACCTTTCTCTCTGTTAGGGTAAACAAGGTCATAGCACTCTTTCTCAGGGTCTGCACATAACACTCGGAAGTATTTAGGCAGAAAACAGTAACCAGCGTAATCACTTAATCTGATTTGTGTGTGTGTGTCTCTTTTGTCTCTTTGAATTAGCAGAGCTAAATGAGGATGTGTCTGCCGATCTTGAGGAAAGATTTCACCTGGGACTGTTCACAGACAGGGCTACCCTGTACCGAATGATGGAGGTTGAAGGTGAGGCACATTTCGTCAATACAGTCCCCTCCATCTTTATGATTCCCTGATGCTTTATGATTCCCTCTTTTATGGCTACCATCCTGGGGCCTTGAATGGTTGGTTTTACATGCCAACTAATGAGGTTTTGAGCTCCCCAATTTGCATACTTATATTTCAGATCCTTTGCATCTGTCATAAGACCTTAAACAGTGCTCACTCTAAGTGACTGAGTAAAAGTGATTGAGTGTGCTCTGGCCCCATTGTGAGCACTCTGAAAGGTGACTTCCCCCATTAGCTAGTGACACTGTATTCTAGGAGTTTTGTTCCTCTTTTATCCTGCCTGCCTTCTTTTTGTAGAAGTTAGTGTAGACAGATGCTTCTGAAACAGCTTCCAAACATTCTTTTTCTTCCATGTAGGAAAGGGTCACTTGGAAAATGGCCACCCTGAGTTGTATCACCAGCTTATGCTTTGGAAAGGAGACCTAAAAGGTGTTCTCCAGACTGCAGTGGAAAGAGGGGAGCTGACAGACAATCTCGTGGCTATGGCGCCAGTGGGTATGTTCTTTTCAACTAAAGCTCTAACCTCTCAAGGATGCCCACTAAAGATGGATAGTGTCTTGGAGAATAATTTGACCATTTCTAATAAATTTAAAATGCACATCTTACTCAACTCACTGTACTAATTGTAGGAATTGAACTGTACACACATGTTCAACATGGTACATATTGATGGACTATTGTTGCAGCATTATTTGTGTCCATTAGTGAGAGACTGGTTACATATATACAGTAGAAACTCCTACAGATACCAAAAGAATGAGGCAGCTTCATGCATTCTAACATGGAACAGGACTCCAGAGTATTGAAAGTGAAAAGAAGGGAGGTGTAGATGTGCAAAAGCATATTTAATACTCTTGTCATTTATATTTATACATGTGTGGTTGTGTATTCATTTTCAAAGGTTTCAAAAGAAACTAATAATAATGATTATCTCTGAGGAAAGGATTGGATGATATGGGTGGGAAGATGCTAGGATAACAAGGAAACCTTTTATGCCATGTCCAGCTTTTTAGCTTTTTATTTAATACTAGAGGCCCAGTGCACAGATTCATCCACTAGTGGGGTTCTTCAGCCTGGTCTGCAGGAATTGGGCTGAAACCAGCAGTCTGACATCCCCTGAGGGGTCCCAGAGTGCAAGAGGGCACTCTGAAAAGTTGCTGTAGCTGGACAGCTCCTGCGTTGAGCATCTGACCCCCGGTGGTCAGTGTCCATTATAGCTACCGCCATAGCTATCACCTGGTCAGCTGGTCACTTAGACTTTTTTATATATATAGATGCAACACATACACAGAGAGTATATAAGTAAATCATGGATTTCACAAACTGAATACATTCTTGTAACCAGCACCCATATCAAGAAACAACATTAGTTGTACCCTTCTCTCATGCTCCCTTTCCATCAGTATCCACACACCCCAACAAGAGTAACCACTACCCTGACTTCCATTCTTTTGTTACCTTTTTAGTTTTGTGTTATTACATAATCAAAGAAACAATTTACGTGGGTGTGGGGAGTAGGTGAAGCAAATGATCTGTAGTAGCTATTGAATTATCTAAATTTTCTGCTTAATACAGTAAAAAGGCATTTTCAACCCATATTGAACATTCTCTTCTTTTTTTCCCCTTAAACTAGCTTCTTATTCAACCACGTTTTCTTTTTCTTTTTTTTTCTTTTTTTAAGCTGGCTACCATGTGTGGCTGTGGGCTGTGGAAGCTTTTGCCAAACAGTTGTGTTTTCAGGAACAGTATGTCAAGGCTGCCTCTCACCTACTTTCTATTCACAAAGTGTATGAAGCTGTGGAGCTGCTCAAGTCACACCATTTCTACAGGTCTGTATAACCCAACAGTTGAGCTAATAGTTGGACATACCATGAATTTAATCTACTTAACAGCTCTAGCATAAAACCTTTACAGTAATTAAACATGTGAAACATACAGAAATATGTTATTTATTAAGAATACTAGCTTAACAAACATCAATGTGACCCACAGGTTGAGAACCACTAGCAGGGTCACCTAAAAGCATCGGAAAACACAGATATTTACATTACAGTAGCAAAATTACAATTATGAAGTAGCAACAAAAATAATTTTATGGTTGGAGGTCACCACAACATGAGGAGCTGTATTAAAGGGTCGCGGCATTAGAAAGGTTGAGAACCACTGCTTTATAGTGTTGAACTCTGTTTTGGCAAGCAGTAAAGTTGCTTATGGATCGGCTTGATCTTTTAATGGCTTGTTTTGAAGCTTTTCTTAGGACAGGTTAAAGAAATCCATAATCTGCAATTAGTTTGTCCTCCTACATTCTGGTGTCTTTACTGAATGTCTCATATGTTCAATAAATCAGAATTGTCATGTCTGACTGGTCAAAATTCAAAAGTCCCAATCCCCTAATAAGTTCAGAGATATATTCCCTGACTCCTCTTTGTCCAGCCCTAAGGAGGTCCCCACACATGCATGGCTTGTGTTTAGCCAAAGACTCAATAGGAAGTTCTGGAGCTCTTCCTCTGGACAGCTTCTTCCTTCCCCTTCAGTTCCACTTGTTTCATCTCTTCTAACTCATTGTTACTGCTTCATCAAGGACAGGGGACCTTTCTCTTTTTAAACTACAAGAGTCACCACCTTGACTCTTGCTCAGATGCCAGCAGTTATCCTTCATTGCTCTTGCACAGTCAGTGCAAATGTCAATACAGTGAGACGGCAAATAACCTCTTAGCATCATTATTATTAAAACAGGTGGGGAGAGGGGTAGGGCTTAAAGTAAAAGTGCATTTGTTAGTGAAGCAAGCAGTGAGACAGAGAGTAAGGCCACTCCACAGGCAGACCAGCCCCTAAAATAGTTTTGACTTCATCCACCCAAAAGGGCCTTGGGGACCCCAGGAATCTGCTGACCTGGGAGAAGAAATGAATGCAGCATGTGGTTTTAGCTTCCTGTGTATGCAGGAACTTCATTTTTTATAAGAAGTAGGAACACCAAAAAGGGGTGGTTTGTCCTATCTTACAGCCCCTCCTAGGGGCCCCTTAAAGAGAAGCCTTTTCTTTTCAGGTTGGCTAATTATCTGTTCTTGCCTCTAGGGAGGCTATTGCAGTTGCCAAGGCCCGCCTGCGCCCTGAGGACCCAATCCTGAAGGACCTGTACCTCAGCTGGGGAGCCATCCTAGAAAAAGATGGCCATTATGCTGTCGCTGCTAAATGGTAAGTCTGGGGGAGACAGGAGCACACCAAACCCAGAAGAGCGGAATGACAAGAATGACAGTGGTCAGCTTAGAGGTGGAGGTCAAGTGTCTAGAAAACAAAAAGCAGAGATGTATTAAACCAGCTTGGTAAGACTCATCTAGCTCTTCCTCCTTGATAGGTAAGTACAGCATCCTAACTGTTCATGTAACCCCAGTAGCAGTGAGAAATCTCTTTTAGGGACATCTTGCACCATCAGATAAGAAAAATGGGAGAGAATGACTCCTTTACTTGGGTTCAATTCAGCAAGTATTGCGATTCTTTTATGTCCTTGACCATATAATGCTGTCTCTCCTCTGCTGGCTGGACTCGGCTGAGAGCTGGTGACGGTGGCTACCTGGGAGCACAGGGGCGAGAAAAGGCCCCCGAAAGAAATGACCTGGCCCTCTGAGAGGAATAGGAGACCTGTTTATGACACTTTGAGTTTTATTTTGTCTTATAGCTATTTAGGGGCCGCTTCCGCTTATGATGCAGCCAAAGTTTTGGCCAAAAAGGGGGATGCAGCATCACTTAAAACAGCCGCAGAGTTGGCTTCCATCGCGGGAGAGGATGAGTTGTCTGCGTCCCTGGCTCTCAGATGTGCCCAAGAGCTGCTTCTGGCCAGGAACTGGGTGGGAGCCCAGGAAGCCCTGCAGCTCCATGGAAGTCTGCAGGTCAGTCTGTTGTTGCATCTTCTGATAATTAAGAAAGGGCCCCAAACCCTTTTCTCACCAAACTCCGGGTGAACAACCCAGTTACACAAACTGTACTGATTTGGCAGATGTCCTGGACACAGTATCCCACGGAAGTACCCTGGCTTGTCAGTTGCCATATGCAAAGTAGGAGCTAATGTGGTCATTCACAGTAATTCCCATTGCGCGTCAGTTTGGGAATAGACAGTCAGCTGAGTCCTGCCTGGGCTGGCAGCCTAGTGGCTGTTTGTTATTGTCATCAGCACATCAGTGACGAGGGGCGACTCTGAAGAGGAAGAGGGATTGGCTCCAACAGAAGTCATGGTGCTCTGCCTGTGGCACCCTCAGGCTGTGTGCCACCAGGAAGTGTGAGACTGAAACCTTTGTGCCCATGTGGTTAAAGATGACTGGCTTCCACTGCCCGTGTGAGTGTGTGTGTGTGTGTGTGTGTGTGTGTGCGCGCGCGTGTGCGTTTCCTCTGCCTTTTGTGACACATCAAATTTGAGATGACTTTAAAGGCAGGTGCTGTAAGTCTAAGCTACGTGTTGTTCTGATACGAGTTATCTTGGCAGCGTGGCACTGATACCTTCCCATGCATCATTGAGAAAGTTGTGTTTGCAGGATCATACAAGGAATCTCATGGCAACTAAAAACCAGCAAAAATCTTCCCAGGCCTTTCTCGGCTTTCTGCTCTGTTCCAGCAGCTCTCTGATAACTGTTTGGACGTGGCCCTTCCCCACTGCTCCAGCTCCCATCCACACCGTTTGCTCCCGCACCTTCTGCCCATTAGGCTCTTCTCTGTACTTCACTTCCTTTTCTCAAGTTTGGGCAAGAGAAGGAACGGATGAGCCCAGACCATATTTTCTCAGGCGAACAAATCTTGGCTGATCTGTATGCATCTTAAATTGCAGTGGGCAGGGCTATCGTTGGGGTTCCACGTTATAAAAATGGTTGTTTGGGCACCAAGGGCTCTGGAAGGAATTCCTCCAAAGGATATCTGGAAAAGCTGCCTGCTTGATCACATTCCCCCTCGGGTACAACTCACATTGGGCAGGCAGCCACTAAGGGGTTTGGCTGCTACAGACGTAAAGGGGGCACTGAGAAACAGAGGCTGTCTAGCCAAGCGCTTTGCCTGCCAACAGTTCCTCTCCTTCGTTGGGTTCCAGGGCCAAAGACTGGTGTTCTGCCTTCTTGAGCTCCTCTCTAAGCACCAGGAGGAAAGGCAGCTGTCCGAGGGGGAAAGCTCTCCCGCATCTTACAACACCTGGTCCGCAGGCATCGCGGGGCCCCTCACGGAGAGGGTGACTGCGGTATGGAAGAGCGCCTTCGGCCTGGACACCCCCGAGCAGTACCGGGCAGCACTGCAGCAGCTGCAGACTATCAAGTACCCGTCTGCTACGAATAACACCCCCTTCAAACAGGTACCCATCTGCGTGAGCTTCGCACAGCAATCTCTCAGTTGTAGGAATTCCTTCATCGATGCCTAGTATAATGAAACAAGTCCGATGCCAGTAGGCATTTCAGAGAAGACTACCTGTAAAGATCCCTTCAGACTAAATAAAGCCCGTTAGCTTTGAAGTTAGAATTAAATTGGCATTCCCTTTTTTTTTAATTTACAGGGGTGACACCATTTTATTGACATTCCCTTTTAAAAGGAAAAAATAAGTTTTTTTTCTATAGGAAAGCAAAGAGAATAGTGTTCAACCAGAGTTAACAAATGTTCACATTTGTCGTTTTTGTTTCGTAGTATTTTAGAGGGTTGTTTTGTATTTTCTTGTTTTTTGGTAAAGGAAATACAATCCAGTTGAAATCCCTTTTGTTTTATTCCTCAATCCGGGCACCAAACACAGCCCCTACATCAGAACATACATATCATTTTGTTCATTGATTGTTGCAATGACAATTGTTTGTAAAATTTATCCAGAGATAAAAATTGATTCACTGTAACTATTCTACCTGTCCTATGAATATATATCTCAATTACCTATTTCTCTTTTGAAAATGAGAGGACATTACTATATTATTGGTAAACGAGACTTCCTCAAATGATATGACACTTTGGAAAATGGTGTGGCAGTTTCTTACAAACATTCACGTGCCCAATGACCCAGCAATCCACTGCCTAGACATTTCATTAAAAAACAAAACTAGGTGTCCACACAGACTTGTGACAGCTTAGTTCACGACAGCCAAAAACTAAAAACGGCCCAAAAGTCCATCAGCTGGTGAATGGATGTGCAAGCTATGGTACAGCCATACAGAGGAATACTATACAATGCTGCAGTAAAAAGGAACACATTACTGATACACAAAAGCATTACGTGAAAGAACCAAGACACAAAAACTACATACTCTATAGCTCCATTTATATGAATTCTAGGAAAGACAAGATTAAAGTGGCAAAACCAGACCAATGGTTGCCAAGGGCTAGGGAGAGGGCACATGGAAATATTTTCCAATGATGAAAGTGTCCTATCTTGGTTTCTGTTGTAGTTACAGCGTATATATCTATATGGATATGTATATATTTATCAAAACTCATCAAATTGCTCACTGAAAGTTGATAATTTTTCTTATAGTTCAGATCTGCTTGTTTTTCATTATAGATTTTAGTTCCGGAAATGCACTTTTTGTTTTAATTACATACAAATGTAAAGGCATTTTCCTAACATGAGTAGACTTTAACTCAGACAGTATATGTTGTTGTGTAGCTATATATGAAAGCTTCAGATAGGGAAGCAAAAATGAATGGTGGAAGGAGGACCTTTCTTAAATGTTGACTGTGTACTCTGTCCAAGTGCAGTTACTGGGAGCACTGGTGTCGTCCCAGTGCTTTCTGTGGGGGGATGTGTAACAGGCTCTGGCCTCTCCCTCCAGCTCCTGCTTCACATCTGCCATGACCTGACGTTGGCAGTGCTGAGCCAGCAGGTGGCCTCCTGGGACAAGGCTGTGGAAGCTCTGCTCCGGGCAGTGGTCCGGAGCTACGACTCGGGGAACTTCACCGTCATGCAGGAAGTGCACTCAGCCTTTCTTCCTGAGGGTGAGTGACCCCACACACACTGATAGATGGCTCTGGGGTACTTACTGCTACTGTGTCATTTAGTAGAAAGTTTGGGCTCTCTTACCTAGGCTCCTAAGAGATACAGCCAGAATGTCTGAGCTCTTTACCTGGCCTACCTTACGCCTCCTATTTACTTTCTACATAGTTTAAAAGCAAGAGAAATAGCATTATTCTCATAATTAGCCTGGAGAAGCACAAAAGATAGACATTTCTTGCTCTGGCTGGGTGGCTCTGTTCGAGTGTCGTCTCACACACCAAAAAGGCTGCAGCTTCCAGTCCTAGTCAGGGCACATACCTAGGTTGTGGGTTCATCCCCAGTCAGGGCATATACGGAGGCAACTGATGAATGTTTCTCTCTCACATGGATGTTTCTCTCTCCTACCCCCCCCCCCCCCCAAAATCAATAACATATCCCAGGGTGAGGATTAAAAAAAAAGACATACTTGAGTTGCATAGTCACTGAACTCAATCACTGTGATTTTTCTTCATAGACACAATAGGATCCCCAGAGCCTTCAGTCAGACAGATTGAATACATTTTATGTCATGACCGACTAGCCTGTAGCATCAAGAACATGGTCCTGAGCCAGTAAATGTTGAGCTTTGGTTGGCTTTTGGTGGGAGGTGGATCACTGCTGTCCTTTTCTTAGTCTCTTAGGCAATAGGAAACAACATGCAGATTTCTGGCCGATAAAGGAAATGCACAACCCACGACCTTTCCTTCTTTTCCTAGGCTGTGATCACCTAAGAGACAAGCTGGGTGACCATCAGTCCCCTGCCACACCAGCTTTCAAAAGTTTGGAGGCCTTTTTCATCTATGGGCGTCTGTATGAATTCTGGTGGTCTCTCTCCAGGCCTTGCCCTGAATCTAATGTCTGGGTAAGGGCTGCCCATAGTCGGACAACCTCTGGTGAACAAAGCCAGCAGTCGGATGATGCCAGCTCTGAAGAAACTGACCCCCAAGCTCCTCAGCCAGAGCCAAGGAAGCCTCCAGAACTAGACATGAGACTCACAGAAGAGAGTAAGCGAATGCTGAACACTTGTAAGGAGCTTTTGTCAGAAAAGCACGCCAGCTTCCAAAACTCACAGAGAACTGTTGCTGAAGTTCAGGAAACCTTGGCAGAAATGATCCGCCGACACCAGAAGAGTCAGTTCTGCAAATCCACAGCGAATGGCCCTGATAAAAATGACCCCGAACAGGAAGCCGAACAGCCCCTCTCCAGTCCTCAGAGCCTGGGGTAAGTACTGAGTCAATACAAGATGGAATTAAAAATGCCCTCCTGGCCGAAACCGGTTTGGCTCAGGGGTAGAGCGTGGGTCTGCAGACTGAAAGGTCCCAGGTTTGATTCCCGTCAGGGGCATGTACGTTGGTTGCGGGCACAAGAGGCAGCTGGTCTATTTTTCTCTCTCATCGACGTTTCTAGCTCTCTATCTCTCTCCCTCTCTGTAAATAATCAATAAAATATATTTTTTTAAAATAAAAAGTTAAAAAAGTTAAAAAATAAAAATGCCCTCCTGGGTTCTCACAGAATCACAGCATAATCAATACATGACGAGACTGATCAGGACACTTGGAAGCAGCATGATTTAGTGGTGAACACACAGGCTTTGAAGTCAAATGGGGGTTCTAGTCCTGTCCCTCCTATGACCTCAGGCAAGAGTCTCAATGTCTCTGAGCTTTAGGTCTCATCTGTAAATAGGAATACCAACTCCTACCTTGCTTAAGAATTAAGTGAAATCACAAAATTATTAACAATAGTACAGTAAAATACTACCTTTGCACATTAAGTAGATTCCCCAAAAAAAATTAATCATGTAAAATGAAATGTATTATTTGCATCACTAATGAAAACTATTGCTTAGTTGTTCTGTACTATCACAAAAAAATAAATAAATAAATTAGACAGCTGAGATCGGTTTGGCTCAATGGATAGAGCATCGGCTTGGGGGCTGAGGGGACCCAGGTTCGATTCCTGTCAAGGGCATGTACCTTGGTTGCGGGCATATCCCCAGTAGGGGGTGTGCAGGAGGCAGCTGATCGATGACTCTCTCTCATCGATGTTTCTAGCTCTCTATCTCTCTCCCTTCCTCTCTGTACAAAATCAATAAAAAAAATTTTTTTTTAAATAGACAGAACTGCTCGTGAACTGAGAGAAATCAAATGATCAAATGATGCTTTAGCATCCTAACCATATGGATGACAGGAGCCTGTCACCAATCACTGTAGAGCTTGCATTATTATAAGGCACTTTGCTATGGGTATTTGCAGTAATTAAGTTATTGATTGGTTATTCTGATAAGTGCCTTTTACCTTATGTCCCCCAGAACAATGCCTAAAACAGTAATTAGAATTTTCTTAAAATATATTTTATTGATTTTTTTACAGAGAGGAAGAGAGAGGGATAGAGTTAGAAACATCGATGATGAGAGAGAAACATCTATCAGCTGCCTCTTGCACACCCCCTCTACTGGGGATGTGCCCGCAACCAAGGTACATGCCCTTGACCGGAATCGAACCTGAGACCCTTTAATCTGCAGGCTGATGCTCTATCCACTGAGCCAAACTGGTTTCGGCCAATAATTAGAATACTGATCAACTTAAAGCTGTTAATAACTTTACCAATTAAAACACTTTAACGTCCTTATATTAATTGCTCTAAAAATACTCCCACTGAAATCTTGATTCATAATTCTGAATTACTTCTCCAATAAACTACTACACTCTAAGCAGCTTTAGATTTGGTTTTAATAATAAGAAAAACAGTTCTCTAACCCACTAAGTATTATAGCTCTTAACCTTTGGATCACAGGACCCTTTAAGAAACTTAACACACTCTTCCAGGAAAATGTACATCCATACACCCCATGAGTAAGAGCCCAGCTCTAATTCCCCAAATAAATCTAGGCCCTCTACTCTTGGCTGCAGGTTGAACCCCCAAGGGTCCTATATTTTCATTGGAGCAGTGTGTCTAAGGAGTGGGGATTTGGAATATGATAAGGAGTAATATTGCATTTTGAAAACTTTGTCACATCATATTTAATTGCCTTCTCAAACTTTTTTTAAAGATGGGAGATAAAGACCCAGGTGATAAAGAAATTTATTTATAGGCAATTGGAATAAAAGTTACCTAGGGCAAAACATATATGACTTATACTTTTTATTATTATTCACCAGTAAAGAAGAGAAAAATGAGCCACTTTCTCTACCTGAATTAACCAAAAGGCTTACGGAGGCGAATGAGAGAATAGCTAAGTTTCCTGAGAGTGTGAAGGTAAGATTTATAGCAGTTCATTTGGTAAAACATTACTTTTTGTAATATCAATTGACTATACCAAATTCTTTAAGATCATCTACTTTTCAGTTTCTGAAATCTCTACAAATTTCAATGTGCTTAAAAGTTAGAATACTTGCCTTTGGTTAGCTAAAATGTTTTGTGAGAGTAGAATTATTGACAACAGAAGCAGTTTTATACCTCAGTCTTCAGAGAAATCTAACAAATTTTATAATTAGGAGGTAAAGTAAAATTAAAGTTAGTGTCATGTATTTGATAGCTTACAGATGGATAAGTGTATTTGGATGTGGCCCAGGTGGTAATAGAAACATCACTTTTCAAATTAATTGCAATAGAGCTCTAGAAGATTGTATTCGTTGGAGCAGGATGTCCCAGTAGACATTCCAGTTTTGAGTATCATCTCTCCTTAGAGTAACTGATGAATAAGACATTGCCTGTCTTCTCTCACAAAACATCTTGAGAGAAATGGCCCAGCTATGCCTGAGAAGTGTCAGGAGAGACTCTGAGTTACTGGTGCCTTCCATGCAGGTGTTGTGGCTCTTTTGCAAATGCTTCGTTTCACTTTCATCTTTCAGACCTGGCCCTTTCCAGATGTGCTGGAGTGCTGCCTGGTCCTGCTTCACATCGGGTCCCAGTGTCCTGAGAGCATGACCCAGGAAATGCAGCAACAGGCCCAAGAGCTGCTTCAGAAATACGGCGGCACTAAAGTTTACCAAAGACACTGCCAGACCTTCTGCACGTGAACTTTCAAGGACCTTTAAAATAAATTGCATCAAATTCAAAACGTCTGACACCTTTCACCTCTGCCAGGCATTTGCTCTGATCCCTAGATGTTTTTTGCAGTGATCCAAATAATACAAAACGAGGGTCAAGTTTGGATCAACTCTACCCTTAAAAACAGAATCTGACTTTGGACTCAGTTGTAGTTCCCTACTAAAGGATCTTCCAAAGCCAGCAGTAGTTGTTAGAACACCTGCAAGAGTAATTGTTGGTCATCTCTAAAGCCTTATGTAGATTTCATCCAAAGAGAAGAAACTTTTGTTCAAAGTGTTATGTTCTTATACACAAGCTACCTTTACAAATGCTTCCCCTGATCGTAACCACCACCATTCTTGTTTGAGATAGAATTGCTGTAGTTTATGACCACGGTATCATTTTTTTAATTTTGTTAACTTGGGCTCTCCCCTTCTACTCTACTACTAACTGCTACTTCTACTGAGTGTGAAACAGGCCTTACCCATCATGTTGTCTTTATCCTAGGTCAAAAATTTGGTTTTATTGTTACATATAATTGCTTATTTGAACAAATCATTTACTAAAGTGTTAGAAGAACAAATAAGTAACTCAAGTGAGTCTTAACCCTTCAGTTTTGATGGTGAGCAAAATAGCTCGGAAAGAAATTACTGTTTCAGTTTTTCTTAATCTTTTTTGGATCACAGGAGAATTAGATTGAAGCCACAGATGATCTTCCAAGAAAAATGCATATTCCTTCCTTATTTTGTATGTGTAAGTTTTGGATCATTGGACTTCAACTTTTGGATCATGCATAATGGACACAACATACTAATTAATTACAAACTCTTGTTCTTGTATTTTTTTTAAACTAATGAGCATTCTTTTGAAGCCTGTTCTTTTCTTTGGTTAAATAGTTGGACAATGTCAGGAACAGATGTTTCCGTAGTATCCCAGTTGCTAGATCATAAAAATTAAGACAGTTGGGTGAGGTTGATGAGGAGCACTCTTTCCCAATAACTGAACTGATTCATGGCTTTTCTGCAAGAATTTCACTTGCTAATTCACCACATGTATAATGAGTGGTCCCAGGAAATAGAGTTAATACTGGTTTCCAAGTAAGGCCAAATAATCAGCGACAAGTGTGAAATGTTCCACTTACACAGATGCTCATTAAAAGCTTCCTTCAAAGTGAAGCGTTCTGGATGCGAGCCACCTTGTGGAAAATGGAGGCAAGACCTTGGGGATACACAAGATGCTGTTACCAACTGCTAATATCCATTTCTAGCGCCAGGAATTCATAGCTATGAAAGATCAAACCTGCATGCCAGTAGTTAAAAAGAAATCTTTATTATACAAAATTAAAAACATAAATATATTTACAAGCATCTTAAATACCAGCTTATAATACTTGACATTTTTGAATAATTTCAAATTGAGTTTTCTATAAGCTTTTAAAATGCAAGACTATTCATCCACTTCAGTGAGTTACCAGTTCCATTTCCACCATTCCAAATGGGTTTTTTGGGTTTTCAAAATTATCCATACTGTCATTTAAAAAAAAAGATACAGTGTACTTTTTAAATGACTAGTTTTTTTGGGGGGGGGAATCACAGTCCTGAGCTTTCTACCCCAGTTGTGGGATATTATTCCACGAGAACAAATTCCTATAAAACAAATTCCTTACTGTCCTGTTTATATGCACCACTAAAACTTTGAAGATTCGCATTTCTGGTACTCACATTAATCCATCTCCCTAACTTCTCAGGTTTTCGGAAAACAGAGAAGAGAGGTGGCGGAATACAAATGCCCATCTGAAATCACAACAGACTTATGATCCAAAAATCTGATCTTAACTAATTTCCTTCAGGATCAAATCTATGATTTTGTTACATGAAAACACAAAGTGACTTCAAATGGTGCACATGTCACAGCAAATTTCAATGGCACAATAGAATATAAAGACACTTAAGTGGCTAATTTAATGTCCACTCTGGTGTTCCTTATGAATAAAGAGTAGACAAGTTCAGTATTTTTTTTTAAGATAAGTTACCATTATCTGGTCTTCAAATTTCAGCACTGAGCATGTAATTCATTCCCATGAGGAAAGCAAATGTCCTCGAGAAGGGTCAGAAAAAAGGACTCAATACCTATCACCCACACTTAAGAATACCATTTTGTTCTACTTTTTCTGGAAGCCCTCAGCTCAGCATAGTAAATCTTCATCAGAGATTAGCAACAAATTTAAAAGAAAAAGAATGACAACAGGTAAGAGTTATATACATTTTACTAGTTTGTTTCTCACTTGTCCTGGGTATTTAAAAAGGTGTCAAATGAGCCATGGATGCTGGTGGCAGGAGGCAACTGGAGAAGAGGCCTAGGGATGAGGAATAGGTAAGACTTGTTTACAAATTCCGAGCAAACTCCCCTCTTCTGGATCAAAAAGACTTCTTTGTCTTCAGTAAAACAAAAGTCTTTCTGTTCAGTGGAGATGGTAAGTGCAGCTTGCTCAAAAGTAGCGGTTTCTCTTGGGGAGGAAGGTAAATACAGTCAGCACAGTAAGCACCATTCTGGTTGGGCCCGCTCCGCAGAGCCTCGCCACCATCACTGCTGCATGTTGTTGATGATGGCCAGAATGCTCATCTTCTCCTGGGCAGAGTCCACATCCTCATTCTGCTTCTGGGCCACTCCCGTGCCCAGGCCATAGAGCCGCCCACAATACTTGGCATCATCAATACTGTCCTCAAAAAACAACTGCAGAATGGGACAGAGAACCCGTCGTAAGAATCATGCCAAGTCAATACTACCACATCAGTACTTCCCGGCTCTCAGCCCTCAAAATTTGACCAACTAGAAATCAATTCCATACAGAAAGGTTCCAAACCTTTCCACGCTCCTTTGTGAACAGACCTATTTTCCATGAGTTCTTTCACTGCTAGAATCCCTGTGCTGCTGCTGCTTAAGTACACATGTCCCATTTTGTCCTTTCTGTTTAGCAGGCAGTGCCATGGTTGAGAACTTGGGCTGTACAGACTGACACCCTGTGTGACCTTAGGAAAGTCACTTCACTTTAAGCCCCTGTTCCCTATCTATAAAACAGTCATATTTTAATAGGTGGTCATCAGTGAGATAATGGGCATTAACCACTTATAACAGCATTATGTCAACCCTGGCACTACTGGACAGAATGCCTTTGCTGTGGTGCGGGTGGCTTGTCCAATGTAGGATGTGTAGCAGCATCCCTGGCCAGTAGCACACTGCCCCCTTCAGCCTAACCCCCAGGTGTGACAACCAAAATGTCTCCAGACATTGCAAAGAGTACTTTGGGGGACAAAATTAGGAAGAATGATGCTGTCAGCTTTGTTCTTTCTCAAGATTGCTCTATTTGAAATCTTTTTGTGGTTCCATGCAAATTTTAGGATCGTTTGCTCTATTTCTGTGAAAAATAACTTTGGAATTTTTGCTTTGGGTAGTATGGACAGTTTAATAATATTAACTCTTCCAAGCCATGAGCACAGTTTATTTTTCCACTCATCTGTGTCATCTTCAATTTCTTCCATCAATGTCTTAATAGTGTTCAGTGTACAGGTCTTTGGTTAAATTTATTCCAAGGTATTTTATTCTTTTTGATGCAATTATTAATGGGATTTTTTTTCTTTAATTTCCCTTTATAATAGTTCGTTATTCGTGTAAAAAAAAACACAATAGAATTCTGTATATTGATTTTGCATCCTAAAACTTTTTATTTAATTGATTTTGAGAGAGAGGGAGGGACACTAATTTGTTGTTCCACTTGCTTATGCATTTATTGGTTGCTTTTTGTATGTGCCCTATCCGGAAATTAAACTTGAAACCTGGTATATCAGGATGATGCTCTAATGAACTTGAGCTATCCTGTCAGGGCTAGTACCTGCAACTTTACTGAATTTATTAGTTCTAACAATTTTTTGGTGAAGTCTTCCATAGATAATATGTCATCTGCAAATAATGAGTTTTACTTTTTTTTATCTACATGCCTTTTATTTTTCTTACCTAACTGTCCTAGTTAGAACTGCCAATGCCATGTTGAATAAAAGTAGCAAGAGTGGGCATCCTTGTCTTGTTCCTGACCTTAGAGCTGCTGATTATGATGTCAGCTGTAAGATAAGTGGGTGGTCTAACCAATGTGTTCATATTATTTTCAGAAGAAAACCAAATAATTACAACAATGAGAGCTGCTAGGAATACAAATATACTTTTAGATTTGAGCATGCTGAGTGGCCTTCATTTCAGATGCTTCTTTGCTTTTCAAACTATATTTAATATATTGAACATCATAACAAACAAAAACAAAAAACTGCTCTCAATGTAGTCATCAACTTCCAATAGAAACTATAAATTTCAACAAACCTCAGCCCACAAAGGTCATCCATCTCCTCGCCTTACCTCTTTCATCCTGAAGAATGCCATTCCTGTCAGCAGTGAGTCTGAGCCTGCCTGATGCTGCCTTCCAATTCTCTGCAAATCTAACTGATCAGCCACTTCCTGAAGACCTCCCTGGAGATGTAAGAAAAACAAAGACAATATTATAGACCCAACACGTCCCTACTAAAGTCAATGTAGTCCATTCTTGAGTTTATTTCTTTTGGTGATGGAACAGGCCATTTACTTAACAGGCATTACCCCAGCCCTCCAAATGATACATTGTGTTATGTTCTGTTTTTTACTCCCTTTTTCTCTTTATCATTAATTTTGTCAGTTCTCTGCTCCATAAAATCTTAATTGCTATAAAACAAGGTTTAGAAAATAGTCAATGCCAGCCCTGGCTGAGTATCTCAGTTGGTTGGAGCATCACCTCAATAAACCAGAGTTTTGGGTTCAATCCCCAGTCAGGGCACATTAGGAAGCAACCAGTAAATGCGTAAGTGGGTGGAACAACAAATGGATGTCTTCTCTCTCTCTCTTGCTCTCTCTTCCTTCTTTGTAAGGTCAATAAATAAAAAATTATTTTAAAAGAAAAAAAGAAGTAGTAAATGCCTATCTAATTCAAATCAGCAAACCTCATATCAATAATGTATTAGGGTAATGAGTTCTTAAACTATCTAGGGAAGCCACCTTTCTCATCTCATGGCACACAAATTAACTGCCTTAATTATGCGGCATACTTTTTTTTTTTTGTCAATCTGACCCTTTGGGCTCCAAAGTGACTTTTTCAAAAATCAAGTGTTTATAATTGTATATAAGGATATCTAGTACCAAGATTTAATCAATCAGATACAAACCTATTATGTGACGTGACCAATATAACGCAATGCTTAGTATTATATGACCTATAGATTTATGGATCTAGACAGGGCATTCACATTGGACAGCTATGTATTTGCTGTTGTCTTTTTTTTTTATTTGACAGTAAGGGAAAGATGTAATGCCTTTAACTAGTTAGGTATTACATGTTTTGTGGCACACCAATTAAAAATTGCTAATCTAGGGTCAAGAACTCCTCTCTCGCCGAAACCGGTTTGGCTCAGTGGTAGAGCGTCGGTCTGTGGACTGAAAGGTCCCAGGTTCGATTCCAGTCAGGGGCATGTACATTGGTTGCCGGCACATCCCCGGTGGGGGGTGTGCAGAAGGCAGCTGGTCCATGTTCCTCTCTCATTGACGTTTCTGGCTCTCTATCTCTCTCCCTTCCTCTCTGTAAAATATCAATAAAATATATTTAATAAAAAAAAAAAAAACAAAAAAAAAAACTCTTCTCTGATCTGAAAGTCTGGTACACTACAGACCCCATTCCTGACAAATTGTACATACACCTCCAGTTACCAATTGGTATAGGCCTTGAGTGAAGAAAGCCTGCCTTATGAGAGAAGCAGAGGGCTCCCTCACGCCCAGGATAAAGACAATAACCACACAAATTCCTGGGCAATTAGCTATATATACAACCTATCTAGTACAATACAATGTTGGCATCTAGCAGGGACTCAAGAATTCATGCTGAACAAATAACAAAGCAAAATGATAAGTCTGCTTTTTTGGCTTTTTTTGTTTGTTGTTGTTACTAATTTAAAATACATATATATTGTACCTTAAGATTTTTGCAACTCTTCATCAGGTATTTCACATCATAAATGGATGGGAAGAAAAGGTTCAGAATATGAAAGAATTCATGTTCCTCTTCTGGCAAACGAGAATCAGTAAGTAACTTTACCATGTAGCCAAAGTCATAGCCACTGCAGGAGAAAAGGAGGCACTAAGTGAAAAAAGTAGCAGTGATTAGGTCCCCACGTTCAACAACTTTACTTCTCAAAATGCATGATGCTGCCACCTTTCAGTATTGCATAGTAGTTTATCCTGCTGTGATCTAACATTCCATTAAACAACACAAACTAATATGGAAAAAAAACTCAAAAGTTTATATATAAATGTGTGTTTTATTCATCAAAAATCCAGAAGTACTGGCCCTGGCTGGGTAGCTAAATTGGTTAGATTATCATCCCAATACGTCAAGATTGCGAGTTCCATCCCCAACTCAGGACACATAAAGAATCAACCAATAGACCTGGCCAGTGTGGTTAAGTTGGCTGGGCATCATCCCATGCACCAAAAGGTTGATGGTTCGATTCCTGGTTAGGGCACATGCCCAGGTTGGGAGCTCAACCCAGTAGGGGGCATGATGGAGGCAGCCAATCAATAATTCTCTCTTACCATTGATGTTTCTGTCCTTCTCTGAAATCAATAAAAATATATTTTAAAAATGGTAATAAACAACCAAGTGCTTCGGTCCTCTCCACCCACCACTTTCCACTCAGAATGCACCCACTGGCAGTTACATGATAGAGTCCAACACAAACCAATATGAGCTCCAAATTGTTTTTTGAAAAAACAAACATGAGTAATAGTTACCATTTCAACTTCATAACTGCTAGAGACCAATAGAAGAGAGCATAAGAATTCAATTCCCTGCTCCCAAACCGAGAGCTACACATTCTCTGGGGCTGACCTGTGAAATGAAAGCCATTTGACATTGTCACAGAGAACCACCCCTGATGTCATAAGCAGCTCCGCAAAGTGCAGTGTGTCAATCCCTTCCTCTTCGTGCTTCTGAAACTGCAGTCCTGAGTTTGCAAGGAGATCTATGGAATCCTGAGAGTACATG